TATATATATTATTTAAAAAAAAAAAATCAACTTAAGCAAATCAACAAACAGGGGAATTCAGTTGCTCTCTCTTTCTCTCTCAAAATCCAGCTCAAAAGAGTCAAATTAAGATTCGATTTAGGGTTTGTTGTGGCAAAGAAGAACAAAAAAATTGAATTGGGATTACAAAAAGAAAAAAGAGGATTCTTCTTGTAGAGTACAAACCTTGAACACCGGAATGGTAGACGCCAAGGCCAAGCCAGTAAGCATAGCCGTTGGCGGAGGTAAGATCATACACATTCAAATGCACCGCCGCCGTTCCGCCGCTGCTCTCTACTGAACTTTTCCGGCATAACATTGCAAATTAAATTTTTTTCCGACGGGTTTAAGAGAAAGGTTATCGATAAGCCTCCGCACTCGAGATGAAAAAACTTTATCGGAAAAGTTGAATGGGGAATGAGAATAATTCACCGGCGGCGGCGGCGGCGTACGAGTGCCACACCACTGTCAACTTTTGGCGGACCAGGTGGGAGGCTTATATATAAATCTGGATTTGCACTTTATTTTATTTTATTTTTAATAATAATAATAAAAAAAAAAAAAAAAGTGGGAATTTACAGAAAAAGGAGAGAGGTGATTGGTTGGAAAGTGAGCTGGTGTGATCCAATTACTACTAATCATATTTTAAATTTTGAAATAATTCTTTTCTTGGAGAAAGTAACGGACACTAATTATGAGGTGAAGTGGGTATTGTTTCTGTGTATTTCGTATACTGTGGACCATCGTATCATATTGTATAGATTAGTGTACTGTATACTCCTTTCATGTGTAGATTATAAGAATATATTCAATATTAATTTGAATTGAGATTTAAGTTAATCATTTTATAGTTGAACAAAAAAATAAACATGTTAAGATTCATAGTTGAAAGATATGAACATATTAAGATTTGATAGAACAGAACCTCGATAAGTAATTTTGTTTGAATAATAATTTTTTTCGATCCGAACTCGCGGACGACGTGGTAAATTAAGAATTCATATGTAAGATTATAGATATTTGAAAATTGTAATAGGGTCAATCTAATTTATAAATTAATAATGCATATAAATACTCTTTCAAATAATACATTATGCAATACTTTTTAGGGTAAATTAAAATCACCCCTGAGGTATGGTCAATTTACAAAAACAATCCTCTTGTTTGGATAATTACATCTACCCAACTATGATTTATCTTACGCCTCCACCCTTGTGGTGTCGAATTCAACATAGTCACCTAACCTAGATTTCGTGGAATGTGCTCTAGTTTGTACTCGTTTCGTGTAAAATACAGTTTTTGATGCACCACATTTTGATATATACAAGCCAAAAAAACACATATTATGATCATCTTGCATCAAAAAGTAGAGTTCGAATAGGATAAAACGGGTACAAAAGTGATACTATTCCATATAATCTTGAAGATTCCACTCAATTTAAAAATGTAAGAGACGTGTAAGAAAATTTATAGTTGAGTGAATGATTGTAATTACCCAAACAAGAGGCGGATTTTTATAATTTGACCATTACCATACTTTTATGATACATAATTTTTTTTGAGTTGAAATCTATTAACACATAATAAAGTATATTTTAATTTTCTTTTGTTCCTTGACGAAGGTGGTGTTTGCAAATGCTTTTTGAAAGTGATTATGTGGTTTTTATTGCTCATAATCTGTTTTTAGGTGTTTGCAAAATCAACTTTTGCTTTTGCTTCTCTTAGAATAATCTGCTTTAAGCTATTTTTTTAAAAGCACCCCTAACCCAGCTTTTTCAATTTTAGTTCATTTTCCGAAATATTTGCAAACACCCCCAACTTTTAGAAATAAGCACTTAAAACTAACTTAAATCACAATCACTAACTTCTGCTTTTAAATAATCATTTGCAAACACCACCGAAGTTTACAATCGCTTCGAATCTCAGTCCTCACTTTTTAATATTGCAAGAACTTTTGATTTTGTTTTTTAATAAGTAAAAAATGTAAAAGAACCAAATACCATTTTGTTTAAGAGTTTCGGTCCGAAAAAGGGGCTACATTAAACTATCATCTTCAACTTCATCATCTTTACGAGTTCGATTGAATTTATTGAAAAATAAAAATAAAAATAAAAATAAAAATATAATAATCTTATATATAAAACGAAGATATTTTGAACTAAAACCTAGATCTAAACCTAGGGTTAATTTTGTAAATTAATAAATGTTTAATTTGACCATTAATTAATCAATTTATAATTTAAACACTAACTCCTATATTTAAATATACCGTAGGTATGTTTCTAATTATTTTTCTTTTTTGATTTTTCTTCTCCACACTAACCACCCACTAAACCCCCACTAATTCATCATGGTAGAAGTTATCACACCATGATCTCAACCCCTACCAATTTCATTCTTCTATTTAAACTCATGAGAACTCCACAAAAAACCACATTTTTTTTTGCCAAATTTCTTCTTCTTTCTCAATTTTGTTCGTCTTCTTCTTCGTTTATTTAATAACTGTGTTATGCCGTTTATTTATTTATTTTTGCATTTGTGTTTGACATATTGTAAACTTCTTTTGCAGCAAGCCTGTTCGTATCAACAATAGTTCGTGGTTGTAGCGAGCTACTCACCCAATTCGATAGATGGAACAAAATTTATGTCACACAAGATTTATTATGTGCTTTTGTTAGTTCAAAGTTTTTTTTTTTTGCTATAATTTATTTATAATATTTAAGTTTTATAACTTACAAGACTTTGTTGTTGTATTTTAATTCGTTCGAGATGTTGCATCCCTATTTTAAGATTGATGCATGTTTTTTTTTTCTTTAGACCATTATTTGAAGCTACTCAACAATTCTAAGACATTAAATGGGAAAAAAACAGTAAAGAAGAGAAGAAACCATCATCATCTCACATCATACACCAAATGCTTGGCAACATGTTGTACATCTACAAACGTTCATGCTAGGCTCATGTAATTATGCGAACTTATTATTTATATTATTAGGTTTTAAGTTTGTGAGTATATTGATAGCACCAAGGCCATTATTGTTTCTTGAATAGGCAACACAAATCTGCGATTTTTTATTTATTTTTGCGTTCGTTGATCCATCATATTTGATAGAGTTGGCATAGATTTTGATGTAACTTATGCAGTGAATTTTTGTTTGCTCAACTAATGTGAATGTTCTCATTATTTTTAATCTAGAAAATTAAATTAGCATTCTTTTTAATGATTATTGCAGCTTTTGTATATAAATTTGAATTATCATTGTTGTAAATTCAATCAAAAACTTTAGAGGAAAAAAATTGCATAAGGGGAAAAAACTTAAAACGCAGGAGTAAATATTGGAAAAACTATCCAATGGTTTTATTTGTAATGAACATGAAAGATTTGTGCATATCATGACAAAAATTATTTGCCTCTCATTAAAGGAAAAAAAAATCAACTACCATATAACCGTGTATTAAGATACATTTTGTGGTTGATTAAATAATTACTCTTCTATTAAATGTGAATCGTGTATGCAAGTTTTTCCCAAAACCTAGCTACCTTCTTCACATGATTTTCGTAAAACATTAACTAACATTTTGCTCTCTTTTTTTTTTTTCCATGTCTCACCGACACTTCCTTTCATGAGGCAAAGTTTTGTTGCACATAGTCGTCTATTTCAGTTGTAGAGTGAAGTGATTGCGAAACTGATTTTGTTGCATCCGAGAAAAGAATTGCACAATAAAATACGACCCGCAACAAGATCTAACTACTTAATTGAGATAGAATAATTTTTGTTAAGCATTTTGCGTAGTTATCATGTTGCATTATCAAATCCGTAGAAATGTTAATGCTATTAATGAAATTTAAGTTTATTTATTTTTATTACAATTATTATCGTCACTACCTATTTCAGTAATATTTATTATCTATAATTTTCCTAATAACACACATTTACAACAACTCCCCATTTCGAGTAACTCCCCGTTAATTAATAACTTCCCACATTCACTATATAATAAATTCATATATATTCCAAGAAAATCGTTCATATTTGAATTTTCTTTTGTGTTTTAATCAAAATTAGGATTGTGAATGATTCATCTTCGTTGGAGGTTGAAACCAACAACAATTCTTGGGTGTACCTTGAGACCCTCTTATTTCTATGTCCATCTACTATTTTATTATTTATTTATTTTTATAATTTTTTTCTTTGTTTTTTATCAAAACTAAAGTGTATTTTCGTACACTTTGTCACGGATTCCGAAATATCAATCTTGAGGATGTTGAGAAACAACAAAGTAAGAGGTGTCAAATGATGATATGCTAGACTTCGACAACATATGAAGCCTTGGGTTAGATTGTTCAATTGTGAAAACTATTATTAATTGTATTCAATATTGTTTATCTTTTTTTATAATTCTTTTATGATGTCATGTGTTCTCAATTATTTAATTTTAATATATTCAACAAATTAAATTTTAAATAATTATTTTATTCTCTTTTGTAATGGTATCCCGTGCAACGCACGGGGCATGATTACTAGTAATAATAATAATAATAATAATTTTTCAAAAACAATACCACTAAATAATTTTATTTAAGAAAAAAATACTACATAATATATGATTATACTTTCTTATGTTTCTTTCTCCCCCATTCGATTTCACCATTTTCATTCTGCACAACTTGGGACTCCACAAGCTCTCTACCTTCTATACCACCAGTCCACCACCTGTCTCTAATCAGATCGCCACGCCGCCGCCGCCACCGCGGCAGTTTTTACCGCAATAATGCATCACTTCAACCTCCACCTCCACAACAGCCACCACGATTAGGCTCTTCGAACCGAGGTCGAAGAGTCTCGGACAAAAGACCTGAAAAAAATATTCAACGGCTGATGCTCTCTCTTTTCTGACGTGATTCCGGCGATTATCAATTGCTAAATTGGAATTCGGAGCTCCATACCAGGAGTTCACATTGCATTTCGGAACTTTCGGTTCTGCTTCACCACATTTCAGCTATTGACAATCAATTGATGAAATTAAGGTAAGGGTTTTTTCGTTCAAACCTAGATTTCGTCCTATTTTTATTTTTTATCTTTTTTTTTTTTTGTAATGCGTTTAGTCTGAGATTTTTAGACAAGCATGATATAGGAGATATGTGAGAATTATTCTGAACTTGGATGAAGCTTATGTTGGCAACTTTTGATATTGAATGCAAGTTGATTAATTTTGAAAGTGAAAAGAATTTGTTTCCACACCTGAATATTCTTGAAATGTTGATTCATATTTGATTGTCAACAAACTGCTCGACGTATTGCCTGAGAGAAATTCGACTTGATCAAAATTTATTAGGTTCGATTCAACTACACAAGTTTAAAAGTAGTGAAGCATGGGATTAAGAAACAATGACATACACATTGTTGCATTTGAGTTTTTAACATATACAAAATTAGTGTTCGGTTTTTTGGGAGAAACTGGACCCATGTAATAAGCAGCAGAAGTTGTTGGATTATCTTTCTCTTCTTTTGGTGTTGTTAAAGAAGAAGGAGATTGTGTAGGTTGTAGAAGTTGAAAGTTTTTATATATTTCAGATTTATTAGAAAGTAGAAGAAGATTTATGAATGATGATACATAGAGGTAATCTGTATACGAACTGGAAGCGCTAACTGATGGTAAATAGTAGGTTAAAAATATGTTTACTTATTGGAAAAAATAGTTATTTATATCATTGTGAGTCATTCAATATAATTTATCTTTCATTCTGTTCTGTATGGACTTGTGTAATGGTAACTTGATGAGAAATGTTGGGCAGGAAGAAATGAGAAGATTTTTTGCGGGGAAGAGTATTTTGAATCGGATCCAATCTTCGAACCGGTTAAATCTCTACCCGAAACGACCCTTTTGCTCCTCCACCCAAAACAAAAAGCCCACCGCCATTACCAGTAGCAACAATGGGTCTTCTTCATCTCCTTCAATCAGCAATTACAGCGAGCAATACAAAGCTCTTGAGAACCTTGATTTCATGACTGCCGCAAAGATTCTCTTCTCCGGAACCCCCAATAAGAAGGAGTTTGGGTATGAGTTCTGTTTTATTGTTCAGGCAATATGTCGAGCAATTCTTTTACAGTGTTTTTTTCTTGGATTTCTTTCAATTCACTGAAAGCACAATTTCACGTCATAATCAATTTATCACTGAGTTAACTGTGAGCTTCTTTGATGAATTTTAGGTTGGATTTCCACCTGGTACAACTCTTCTTTGTATGCTTGCCATCTCTGGGTAATTCATTCATATGAAAAGATTTTTGTCATTGTATTATTGGTTTGCGGTTTCTGTTTGATTTATGACTCGTCCGCCAATTTTGTACCAGCTGTGTATCTTGTAGCTCAGTATGCTCGCAGTGAAATGAAGAAAATGGATGCGGTATGATTTACATTTATGTATAGATCCAAAAATTTGCTTTCTATGAACTTACATTATTCAATTGTTCTAAAGTCAAATATCTGTTTCATTTCATTGATTATGTGAATAGTGAATATATTTACTTGAGCTTCTTGGTTATGTGTGCGGGTGAAGAAAAAATATGTGATTAGTTTTTATATTTGCTATATGATGAGGTTTAGAAGTATTTCCTTTTCGTTTCTCGTAATTTTATGTCGAAAGTAAAGCATACATGCTATATATGCTTTTGCATTAAGAAAATACTTCCAATCTCGCAAAATGCATATCTTGAACCCCTATCATTTTGCGCTGGATTTACAATGCAAGTTTGCATTTGCAAATTTATGTGGAGTCCTATTGAAGAAATATTTTTACAGATGATTTCATAGTTTTCGAACACCGCGCGCACGCACAAATATTTACATATGCAATATGTTTTTGAATTATTTGAGTCCGTTAAATTTTTTTAAAGTGTATATTTACTCTCTCTCTAGGAATTGGAACGGAAGAAACAAGCGGAGTTTGAAGCACAAGCGAAAGAGATGGAGCTAAAAGCTGCCGAAGAAAAAGCAGCAGCAGCTTCTAATCCAGAGCTTTTGGAGGTGAAAGAGAGGCTCGATAAGCTCGAAATTACGGTAAAAGAAATTGCTTTGGAATCGAAGAAGCAAACTAGTGATGCTATAAGAACTGGACCTCAAAACAACAATGAGCAAAACAAACAGTAGTAGTACTGATAAGCTGAAGTTGCTATAATTTTGTGAATCTTTAATCCAATTTTGTGAATCTAAATAAAGTTTTCTTTTGGGGTGCTATAATTTAGCATAAATTATGTTTATCTTTCTGGTAATGATTATCCATGAACTTTAGATAATTTTCCCTTAATATTTATCCAATTTCAATTTATTCATCCAGAAAATATTATATCATCTGAGTTGCTTTATCAGCAAGAAATACATATACACACACACACACACACACACACACACACACACACACACACACACACACGCGCACGCACACCCATGTTATATATTCCGCTCTGGTCGGCTCCATTTCCGATATTCAAATCGATTCAATGGCTCTTTTCCGTCTTGTTTACTAAGCAATTACAGAGACAAAATGCAAAGATATTTGGAGGGTGCCATTTTTCCCGACAGAAAATTCCGGCCATCGGGCATCTGCTACTTAGGCCTATGCCCCCAAATTATGTGCATTACTAATTAGGATCCCAGAATATGATTTTTTTTTTAATATTTATATAATTAAATAAATTAATTAATGATAGCCCAAATTTTTATAGAAAAAATAATGTAAAGATTAATACTCTTAATATCTGCACTTAAAATAAAAAAACGTATTTACCCAAAATATTTAATTTTGTATTAAAAAAATAATATAAAGAGTCCAATTAATTACTTCAGTTGTTTTATGAACAAGAAGCACAAATGTTATGCATTACGTGAACAAAAAAAACAAAACAAAAAAAAAAATAAAAAAAATGAGAAGAATTCCAGAGTGGAAGAGTAAATCGAATCGGGCCCAATATTCAACCCGGTCCTCCCACTCTTTTACTAATCCATTGCAGAGAGCAATGCAAAGATCTTTGGAATAACAAACAAATTGTGTATGTGTTCTTTTTCTTCATTTGGTTCAGACAATTCGTCGAACACTTTGTTCACAATAAGTTTTTTTCATTAATGATCACTCAATTAATCGTGAGATTTTTTTTCGATGGATTTCAGGTTGGATTCCATGCCGGTAAAATCCTTACTTTATTTTGGCTTGCCATCACTGGGTAAACTCTCACTCTCTCAGTTCATAAATTGAAATGATTTAATTATTTATTTTAGGGTTTCTCTTTTTTTTTTTTTTTTAATAGTTTCGATTGGGTTTTGATTAATGATTCTCCACCATTTTCTGTATCAGTTGTGTTTTCTGTAGGTAAGTATGCCGGAATTGCGACGAAAGATACAATCGAAGATAGACCGAGGTATGTATGTATGTATGTTTGTATTTATAAGTGAGCTTCTTTTTATTCTATGCTACGTACACTTGGTTAGCTTTATCAGGTACATATCTCGTCAAACACTTACATTACGTAATTACCTATTTACACACATTCGCATGTGCGTGTACGTGTACGTGATTTTGTACATATTACTTGGTGTGGGAATAGACAACACCGTAGGTTCATTGTTCGTCTTAGATAGATAACCCGATTTTTCGATAATAAAATTCAAAAATTTACCCTTTAGCAAAATTATTCATTTAGTGAATGATCAAAGTCAAAATATTGGTATTACAAACGACAACGAATTGTGCAATGAGCTCCAAATCGGCAAATAATTTAGTATGTATACGTTTTTAAATGAAGTATATTTCTAATACATGTTACTATGTTAGTAATCCCTTTGAAACTTGTATTGTTGGATCTTTTATTTTGTTAGATAATATTGAATCGAGAGAAATCAGCTCAATCACGAGCGAAAGAGATGACCCACACGAAGATCAAAGCTTTCGAAGAAGGAGCAAAAGAGATGGCCCACATAAAGCTCAAAGATTTCAAAGAAGCAAAAGAGATGGCCCACATGAAGCTCAAAGCTATCAAAGAAGGAGCGAAAGAGATGGCTCACATGAAGCTCAAAGCTATCGAAGAAAGAGCAAAAGAGATAACCAATAATATAAACAAATCAGCACCGGCATCCGAAATCACTCTTTTGGAGGTGAAAGAGGAACTCGTAAAATCGGTCGAAAAACGAGCGAAAGAGATAGTCAAAAGGGAGGTCAAAGTTGCCGTAGATAAAGCAGAGAGAATATCCAATCCGGATCTTTTGGAGGTAAAAAAGGAACTTGAAAATCGGTCGAAAAACGAGCGAAAGAGATAGTCAAAATGGAGGTCAAAGCTGCCGTAGAAAAAGCGGAGAGAATATCCAATTCGGATCTTTTGGAGGTGAAAGAGAAACTCCACAAGTTAGAACTCAATGTTAAGGAGCAAAGGGAAGTTGGTGCTATTCATCATTCCATCTTAGGTGTGTCTTTGTTGATATTACTCAAGATATATAGTCATTGATTAAATTTTATTAATTCTTCATAAGTATTATTATTTTTCTTTTTATTTTTTATAGATACGTCATACGTATTATCATATTTTGCTTGTTTCTATCTTTAGTTTCCTAGTTTTTGTAGGCATGATGGTGTGGATGTGGCCAATCCTAATATTCTTTTTTTTTTTTTTTTTTTTTTTTTTTTATCTTAGCCAATTTTTTCGGAAAATGTTGTCCTTGCACCAAAAGGCGAATCCCTCGCCCCCAGGGCCCCCATCCCTTGGCCCGACAAGGATTGATGGAGGATGTAAATCATGGTAACTCAACGGCCCGTTAAGGTAGCGGACCCGGACCTGGTGCCCACAAGGAACCAACCCTCATTTGGAGTTGAAATTCCCACACTGCGGCTGCCAGGATTCGATCCTAGGACCTTGCACCAACTTACCACCTCCGGAACCAGTTGAGCTACACCCATGCGGGCTGGAAAATGTTGTCCTAAGTTAGGACTCCTAACCTATAGTGTGTATTTAAATAGTAATTGAACGCCCATACATCATGGTGTTCAATTTACTACAATTCAAACTATACATGTAGCGATGTTGAAATTTGTAACTTAAAAAAACATTCGCATGCAGATAAAAAAAATTGACACAACTTCGTTGAAAATAATAATTCAGCAGATATGATCGGCTGTAAAAGCTAGACACGGCGGCCGACGAGAAACAGATAGATGCAGCTCAGTTTCGAGTTTCGAGATATAGAGTTGCAGAGAGGGATTCGGGGGAGAATAGAGAAGAATCACGCAAAATTCATAAAAAACGAGCTTAGGGCTTTCACATTAAATACCGGGGCAATTATGTCCGAAAAAAGACCGTTCCCTTGATTTTAAATAAACTTTTAAGTATTGGGTTTATTTGCAAGATAAAAAAACTGAATGTCTCTTTTTTAATTAAGTTCATGTGTCATGGACCTATTTGCTATTACCCCTATAATTATTTCAGTTGCTTTATCAACAAGAAAATACATATATGCATATTATATATACCGCTGAAACGAATCCACACCGGCCCTGAATAAAAAAAAAAAAGAAAAAAAAAACTAAAAATGAGAGGAATTCTTGTGGGGAAGAATGTTTTGAACCGGGTCAAGTATTCGAACCGGTTCAATCCGAACCGGTCTTTTTGGCACTCCGCCGTAAAAAGCATCGGAAAAATGGATGAATTGAATTTCTGCTCAATGCTGGGTAACTCGGTTCATTCAAATTATGTCGTTTATGTTTACTAATTTTGTTCGGTTTAATTTTAATTTTAATTTTAATTTTAATTTCAATTTTAATTCTAATTCTGATTCATGACTCTCTAAACCTATTTATTTACCAGGTGGGTTTGGTGTATCTCTCTTAACTGGATATGGATATAAATATAAAGATGAGGTATGTTTTACATTAATGTATTGATTTTGTGGTTTCTTACCGATTAATTAATTATTTAGTTAATAATATGTTTGGTTCTTTGGATTACATCTTGATTAAATTTGTTAGATTATGGTATTATATGTGAATCATTTATAAAGTATTTTATTTAACAAAATTAAGTCATTGTTCTAAATGATAAAATTGTAATTTTTCCTTTTACCTAGTCATCCCCTATAAAATTAATTGCGGAGATGGGTGTTATTAATTTCATGAAGTAGTAGTATTTAATTTGCGGGCTTCCACTTTAGTAGGAGGCTTGAGTAATGTTGAATGTTATCAATCAAATATTTTACTAACTCCTACCATTTAGTTAATCTAACCTAGTAGCAGCAAGCAAACGAGGCCTAAAATGTATAGATAACAAATAGGAAAATAATTTGATTTTTTGTTTTGTTAGATATTGAATCGAGCGAAAGAGATAGCTGAAACGAATCTCAAAGCCATCGAAGAAAGAAGGAAAGAGATATTCAATACGATAAGAAACGCAACACCGACATCCAAGTCAAAGGTTTTGCAGGTGAAAGAGGAACTCGAAGAATTGGTTGAAAAACAAGCAAAAGAGATAGTACTCCAATCCAATTCAAAAGTATTGAGTCTGAAAGAGGAACTCGAAGAATTGGTTGAAAAACGGGCACAAGAGATGGTCCAATCCAATTCAAATGTATTGGATGTGAAAGAGGAACTCGAAAAATTTGTTGAAAAACGAGCGAAAGAGATAATCCGGAAGGAGATCGAAGCTGTTGACGAGCAACTCGCGGAGGCGAAAAAGATGTTGGGCGAACAGATTGTAAGAGAAATGGCATCCATTTCGGATCTTTTTGAGATGAAAAAGAAACTCCGTAAGTTAGAACTCAATCTAGAGGAGCAAACGGGAGTCGACGACGTTATTTATTATTCCACACTAGGCGTGTGTGTGTGGGCTCTACTCAAGCTAACATTTTTTTGATCTTTAGTATAATTCGAATATTAATTTTGATTTATTTATTTATTTATTTCATCATTAGTATTACCAGGGGGAATACGATGCTACACCTGGTGATTTTCACCGGGTGGCTCTTTTCTTGACATGTGTCTTTTTTTATTTATTTTATAATTATATTTCTAAAAACCCATTGAGCCATAACTGAACCCGTAGTGGGAATCTTATTAATTAGAGTGCCTGGTTATATTCACCAGGTGTAGCATAGAATTTCCCGTATTACCAGCTTTTGCTTGTTTCTATCTTTAATTTCATAGCCATTTTAGGGCAAATAATTTAATGTATATATTTTTTAAATGAAGTATATTTCTAATACATGTTACTATGTTAGTAATCCCTTTGAACCTTGTATAGTTGGATCTTTTAATTTGTTAGATAATATTGAATCGAGCGAAATCAGCTCAATCACGAGCGAAAGAAATGGCCCACAATAAAATCAAAGCTTTCGAAGAAGGAGCAAAAGAGATGGTCCACATAAAGCTCAAAGATTTAATTTCGAAGAAACAAAAAAGAGATGGCTCACACGAAACTCAAAGCTGTCGAAGAAGGAGCGAAAGAGATGGCCCACATGAAGCTCAAAGCGATCGAAGAAAGAGCGAAAGAGATAACCAATAGGGGTGTGTGTAGGGTTATTAGTGAAGATGGTATATTCTTTGACCTAGAGTGGCGCATATCATGTTTATACTTGGGGCAATTAGACAACTTCTTTGGACCTATTTTTTTATTAGATATAAGGGCTATTTTATTACTTTAATTTTTATTTTTTTTGGTTACCATTTTCCCATTTTCGCACAATTAATTTCGAGAGCAAGCAAGGTCGCAAGTTGATGATGTTGTCGAAACTTTTGTTTTCTTTGATTAGGGTTTCGTTTGTGAGATGTTTTTGGTGGAATTCGATCCTATTCTTTGTGGGGAGTTGATTCTTAAGAGGAGCTTTCGAAAATCGAGTGAAATTGAGGCTAAATCAGAAATAGATCGAGGTCAGAATGAGGTTGGAATGGGCGTCACGTGCAAAACATGCGACTTTTATCGTTCAATTTAACACGAAAATAGACAAACGGACCAAAATTGAGAAGAAAAACAAGAGAGGCTTAAAATCGATTCTAAAATAATATATAGGGATTAAATTCGATTAAATTCAAGGACGTCGATCGAGCAGTTTGTTTACAATGAAGTTTTTGTGTTTCATCTTATATATATGTACCGAATTCCAAATAAAAACAAATACATGCAATTACAGCTGAATTCCAAAATATTTTTAACAATTTTCATAGGCTTTTTAAAGTGGCCCATAAAATTTTGGGGCTGATGCAGAAATAACAATAGTCAGATGGGTCCTTTTCATGTTAGGATAATTAGAGGGGCCAAAGTATAAATAATAATAGCTTCAGAAATCATCTTTTCATTGGCTTAATCAGCAAGAAATATAATACACACACATGTATATATACCTAGACTACAATTCGAGCAAAAACAAAAAAAAAAAAAAAAAAAAAAAAAAACAATGAGAGGAATTCTTGTGGGGAAGAGTATTTTGAACCGGGTCCAGTATTCAAACCGGTGCAACCTCTATCAGAACCGGTCTTTTTGGCACACCACCACCCACAACGGCGGCAGCAGAACCAACAAATCTCTTGGCAACCTTGATTTAAAAGCAACCGCAGCAAGCCCTAAGAAGAAAAGGTAAAGCTTTTTTCCTTTTTACCATTGCTTTTTTGGGTAAATTACAACCACCATTGAGGTATCGTTGCGGTTTCAAATTTAGTGGAATCTTTTAGATTATATGGAATATTCTCAATTTTGTATACGTTTTATCCCATTCGAGCTCCATATTTTGAAGCAAGATGATCATAAGATGTGTTTTTTGGCTTGTATATATCAGATTGTAGTGCATCAGAAACTGTATTAAACGAGTACAAACTAGAAAACACTCCACGGAAACTAGATAATTATATTGTGTTTAAAACCATAAGGGTGGAGATGTAAGAAGATTCATAGCTGAAGGGTAGATGTAATTATCCAAACAATATGGTTTTTTTCGTAATTTGACCAGATTTTAGGGGTGGTTGTAATCGACCTTTTTTTTTGGTCAGGCAATACGGCGAGCAGTTTGTTTACAATGAAAAAACCCATCTAGTTTTGGTTTACTGATCTCTTAATTGAATTTCAGGTCGTTTTTATGGCCAGTACTAATTTGCTCATCACTAGGTAACTCGGTTTTCATTAATCTGGAAATTAAACAATTCAAATTCTGTCGATTTTATGTCGTTAATTTTCGTTCTTATTTATTATACGTAGCAGGTGGTCTGTCTTATAAAGGATTACTTGATTTAGGTGAATGGTTAGAAGAAGAAGGGGAGGTATGATTTACATTTATGTATTGCTTTATAGTTTCTTATTAGGTTTTATATGATCTATTGTTCCATAATCAATATATATACAGTAGAACTTTGATAAATCAATAACCTTCCACTATAAAAAAAAATCTTTTGAGTGACAATACCTATTTTTCACATGATTAGGTAAAAAGTATTGTCACTATACTTGTCACTAACGGGGTGTCGCTAATGCTCTATAGTGACGATAAATAAGGATTAAGTGACAACAAAAAGAGTTATTAGTGACAATAAAAAAGATGTTGTCACTTAATGTGTACATTAAGTGACAATTTTTGCGTTTGTCACAATTGGGGGTCACTAATGCAACTTTTTCTTGAAGTGGATCCCTTAAATAATAATTTCTTCCAAACTTGCTAAATTGTTAATTCAGTAAAGTTCATAGGATCATGTTTGTTAAATTATACTCCCTCCGTCCCTTTTTATATGTGTTTTTTGGTGGTGACGCATAGATTAAGATAGTCAATAAATATGTATAGATTATACTAAAAATAATATGGTAAATACTGAAATACCTTTGTCATTAATTATTTTTTAAAACACTCCAAAAAGACATATAATAAGGGACATAGGGAGTATCGAATAGTAATAAATCATAAGAGTTTTTATTTGTTATTTCAAATTAATATATATATATATATATATATATATATATATATATATATATATATATATATATATATTAGTAACAATGGTTGTTTGATATTGTATAGAAGAATAGATTACATGAAGAAAGATTAGCGAAAGAGATGACAGCTCAGGCGGAGTTTAAAGCAAAAACCGCTGAGGCGGAGCTTAAAGAAAAGATAGCTCAGGCGGCGGAGTTTAAAGAAAAAATCGCTCCGGCGGAGATTAATGAAAAGATAATTGAGATGAATATGAAAGCTGCCGCCGAAGAAAGCGAGAGAGAGATAGCTCTGGCGGAGCTTAAAGAAAAGATAGCTCGTCAGGCGGAGTTTAAAAAAAAAATAATTGAGATGAATATGAAAGCTGCCGCCGAAGAAAGAGAGAGAGAGATAGCTCTGGCGGAGCTTAAAGAAAAGATAGCTCAGGCGGATTTAAAAAAAAAGTTAATTGAGATGAATATGAAAGCCGCCGCCGAAGAAAGAGAGAGAGAGATAGCTCGGATGAAGGTCAAATTTGCCGAACAAAAAGCGGAGTTAGAAGCAAATAAGTTGAAGCTTATGGAGGTGAACGAGAGGCTCGATAAGTTGGATCGCGCGGCGAAGGAGCAAAGGGAATATTATGATGATGTTGTTTATTATTCCATTGCAGGGGTTTGTGTAGGGATGGTAGTGAAGATGGTATATATATTTTTGACCTAGAGTGGAATATTAATTAGGGTAGTTACACAATTTTCTTAATTTGGACCTATTTTTATTAGACCTAATAAGTGCTAACTTTTTTTCTTTTTTAGAACACAAATACAACTCCTCATATTTCCAATTTGCACAATTTCTGATGTAAATAGAGTCAACGATCGATGTTGTCGAAACTTTCGTTTATTTGACTACTAGGGTTTCATTTGTGTGTTGTGACATGTTTTTGGTGGAATTCGATCGAATTCTTTGTGAGAAGTGATTTTGAAGAGGAACTTTTGAAAATCGAGTGAAATTGAGGCTAACTACAAAAAATAGAGGTAAGAATCATTTTTAGAAAGGAAAAAAAAAAAAGAGTTGGTGTAAAATTTAGTAGCATTCTCACAGCTAGGACCTCTCTCTTTAATTTCTCAATCTGATTTTGAGTGTTGTGAAGCTTCGTCGATTTTTTGCTAACTTGCTCTAAAATTTAAATCGAATGACACAACATTGTATACATTTTTTTTTGCTGCTTGGTATGTGTGTTGACGAAGGATGATATATATATTTAAGGAGGCCTTAATTTTTATTTTTATTAATAAACACCTTAAATTGTAAAACTAATTAATATATCACTGTTATGCATAAACATAGTATTTGTGTTTGTTAGGAAATTGAGCTTAAGAGACTAATTAACCGAGTTAGAAGCACGAGTGAAAGAGATGATCGCAAAAGCTCAAAGATGTCGAAGAAAAAACAGCATCGTCCAGAATTCGGAGCTTTTTGATGTCAAAGAGAGGCTCGATAAGTTAGAACTCACGGTAAGCGCGCTTATAGTATTTTGATCCTAGTCTAGTCTGCAAATTAAAAAAAAAGATAAAAAAAAAAACGAGGGACTTTGATTTCATTAATAGTCTCGATCGGATCCTAGTATTTACTTCCTTCATGTCACAATGGATCGATCTCGATCTTGTTAATTAGATGATTAAATATATCGAATTGTTTTTCATCTTTAATTTATACAATGGAGGGAGCACAAACTATCTCTATGAGATGTTACACAACGTTTGTTTTGAACGATAAATCTATATAATAAATATCCACTAAGCAGACATACAGATATATATATATATGTGTGTGTATTATTATGTGTACGTAGATCAATGGTTCATGATCACCTAAAGTATTTCAACGAGTGTAAGTAGCATTTACAAAATCATCTAGTGTACAATTTTATAATCATTCAATTTAACTTAAGTATAATCTACATTATTGAGAACAAAAGACAATAAATGGGAATTATTGAAAAGAACTAATATATTCATCCTAATAAGAAATCTTTTTTCAAGTAGGAAATAAATTATTAAAAATAATATGAACAAAATCAAAGGAAGAACAAAAGAAAATAATTTAAGACAATTAATTAAGAAACTAAAATTAGAGTTTAAGAGATAAATCCAACGTTTTCAACTCATCTTGATGATGATAATGATGACTAGTCTTCAAACGAGAACTGCCACTATCCCATCTAAAACCACCAACTCCATCGGCCGCCGGAGAAAAACTCCGACCACCGTCGAACCTAGCTGCCCCGCCGCCAGACGACGACGAACCCACCTGCTTTCTTGCCGCCCATCCGGAATGCCCATATGACATTGAGGCCGCTGAAAAACTTGGTTTATGTATCATGGAGTGAGCCTGAACCCCAAGAGACCTATTGAAGGACGACACGTGTACAGGGTAGCGGCCGTACCCCGCCGCCGCGTCGTGGTGGATGAAGGCGGCGGCTGCGCCGCCGCCCCTCTTCGCGATCGTCCTCTCGCGTTTGTGGGCATTTTGGTGGCCGCCGAGAGCCTGCGAGCTGTAGAATTTTCTGTTGCAGTAGTTGCAAGAAAACACACGCTGCTCCGGTGATCCGGAGTTTTGAGGTTTATTATTATTTGTGTCGTCGAAAAGGTTGAGTACTACTTTTTGCTTTGAGTAGTTATGGTCGGAATTCTCGGTTTTCGGCGGTTGCTCCACCGTTTGATCTCCACTGTACGGCGGTGGCGGTGGCAATGACTCCATTTTTCGGTGTTCGATTTCTTTTTTTTTTTTTTTTTTTTCTTTTCTTGATTTGGAGGGTGATGAGGAGAGTATGATATTGGTGTTTTAATAGTAAAAATAAAGAATTTGTAATATAATGTTAATTAATTGTGAAATAAATAGTGTGGTACTATGTATGGAAAGCAAAATTTACAGTTACAAAACACTAATTAATAATTAATCAAATGAATAAAATAGTGTGTGTGTGTGTGTGTGTGTGTGTGTGTGTGTGTGTGTGTGTGTGTGTGTGTGTGTGTGTGTTTTATTCGTAGAGATATTACATATACTGTGGAATCTGAATTTTGGAAAAAACGTACTATGTTAATTATTTTGTGAGCTTCTTTTATGGAGAACCACATGCAGAAAGAAAAATTAGACGTATTAAATGAAAGTTATGTATATTCATGATTGGTATTTTAATGTTAATTTTCAGTTTAGAGTTATTTACATTTGAATTTGAATTTGAATTTGCTAAAATAAAATAAGTATTATACGCTCCTGATTGAGTATTTAAGGACTAATTATAAATAATTAATGAGATGTTGTCATGAGTCGTGAGTAACCTTCAATAATTTTCTCTCATATATATACAAATACAATAACTAATTAAATCAATATATAAATGTAGGTAATTATCTATTATATGAGAAAAGCTTGTTCCGAAACCGCAAGTCGATTTTTCGATCAGAGTCAGCTTATGTGTGCTTAGTGGAAAGTTATTTCACCATATCAACGGTTAAAAATCACCCGATGTACAGTTCATCGGGTATATCGATCATCTCAAAGATCGGGGAATATCGTGCATATATATATATTCTTGATTACTACTTGAATAAGTTTATGAGCCACAAAAGGTGGACGATAATTTCAAAAGTGAAATTGATAGGTGATTGATTAATAATAATATATATCCAACAATTTGCAGTTCAGTTTGAAAAATAATCAAATTAGATAGGTTCGGATCACATTTTAGGTCGAATGTTGTCACACGTGGTTAGTGTCCTAATGTGATTTACGTCTCTCTCGTTGATTTTACTTTTATTAATTTTATAGGTGGGTTGAGAAATTAGGAATGGCCGACAATTAGATTAGGAAGGTGATGGTGAAAGGGTCCTAATATCAATCAAATATGCTTCATCAACATCACATGCCCCTTGTTTCTAAAGTAGGGTTTTTGGATAATCATCATTTTTGTACATCTAACTAGACTTAAAGTAAAACACTTTTGTCAAATCTTGTTCTTTTCATATGTCAAAGTTATTACAATATGATTAACATAACGAGTCGAGCTCGAGCCAAATCTGACAAATTCAATTTTATGAGTTCCGATCCAGCTCGAGGTGATCGAGCTTGCAATTCCTAAGCTCAAGCTCATGTTGTATTTATATAGCTCCTAAGTGCAAGTTACTTACTAACAGACTACCTCGTCTTTAATTTACTATTCCCTTGCTTAAGTTTGTAAGTGCATGATGATGTAATTTTATTTTATTTTGAGTATATGTATAAACATTACTTTAGATTTTGTGAATATAGAAAATATGACTTGGCAATTATGCCTTTATTAACTTTAGAGTAAAATCAAGATTGGAATCATGTGAGATTTGTTTGTCTGTATATCTTAGTGTGATAAGTGTGTTCTCAAGAGACAAAGAAGTGAAATATGTGGGCATCACTTTCTTTAACACATAATTAAAGACTCCCAAACAGAACCTTTCTCTTTTTATCTTTTTGTCCACTCAAAGCCACACACACACACACACTCAAACTCACAAGTCCTTTCTACTTTCTCCAATGTTTTGTTTGGCCATACTCCTAACCACAAAGTCATGTTATCCTTTTTCAATTTTTTTTTTTTTTTTTTTGGATTTATTAACTAAACCGAGAAGAAATATTACAAAAAGAAATGAAAAAAATATATATATCTTCTAAATTGTAGAAATGGGCTAGTTGTGGTTAGTCAGAATTGTAAATTATAAAATGGATGATTCGATAATGGGCTTTTGGAATTTTAATGTAAGCCCATTTCAAGAATTTCTTGCTATTGGCCCAATATTGTTCATTATAGTCCCACTAGGTGTAACATATTTTTGAATTGATTTATTTGTTTCTAATATTTTATTAGCAATCGGTGTTGGTATTTCATTGTAATAATGCATTTTCATAACTTCATTAGATGTTATAAAATAGATTATAGCTTTTCTAGGTTTATAGTCTAATTTGGAGTATTTGTAAATAACTTTTGTGTGTTTTTTTTCTAGAATAAGTTGTTTTAAACTGTAATTTAACTTTCAGTTTCAGCCGTTTTTTCAGGTTTAAAGTTTTGGATATTTACATGTTTACAAAAATAAGCTTAAAATAAAGTCTAATTATTTATGGCTTTTAAAGAACCCGACTTTTAAAAATAAATAGTTATCATTTTTGTAGTTTTACTCAAAGTCACAAATTTATCTAATTTCAGTCGTATTTGCAAATACCACCTTAGTGGTGAACAGTGAAATGTAAACGCAAAAAAAAAAACACGAATTATGAAGTCTAGAATTTCATAATTTAATGCCATGAGATAATTTCATTAATTCTTTTTTACCAAAATCTATTAGAGCACAAGAGAGTGTATAGTCAATTGATCCGAGCTCAAATTCTTTTTTTCTTTTTTTAAAGGTCGAATTTGTAACATATATTTTATGCCTTAAAATTAAAGAAAAAGAAAATTATATATTAGTTTGTATATTCTCAAAATTTGCAAATTTGCCCACAAATTATTTTCCACAACACCAGCAAGTACTACCGGCAATGGAAAACGGCGACGATTGGTTGGCCGCCGACAAACTACAGCACATCCTCTTCTGCTTCTTCATATCCATCATTTCCTCCCTCCTCGCTTCCCGCACCCGCTACCAATTCATCCGCCGCCGCAGCATTTGGATCGGATCTATTGTCTCTTTCGCCGCCGGCGCCGCCAAAGAGTTCGCCGACGAGTTAGGCTTTTTCAAGTCCGCCGGCGCATCCGCCAAGGACGCCGTCGCCGATCTCATCGGCATTCTTCTCGCCGCCGCGATGCTCTACTTTTCGAATTTCACGTCGATCCGACCCGACGGTCCGGGTCAGACCCGGATTATCGACATGGTTTGAATTGCTGCAAACGAAATCGCTGCGCAATTGCGTGTTCCTTGATTTGTGTAATCATCCATCAGGTGAGTTTCGAATCGTTTGGTTAGTGAAGATTTTGGGGAATTAGACAATTTTTAATTAATTTTTAATTGACTGATAAATGTTAAAGATAGAAGATTGTTTATTGAGTTTTCATAATGTTTTAACTGTTTTACTTAAGCACCGATTTAATTTTAATCTTGATGATTAAGAGTATTTAATTAGTTCAGTGTTAATTAGTTGTGTAGGATCACTCTGCTTTTTTCCTGCTTAGGATCAAATGTTCGATGGATCATAATTCGAATCGATACGCGTTTAAGGGCTGCTCGTGCCAATTGGAATCAATTAGCTTCGTTTTTGTTTCTAATCGAGTCGGATTTTAATTACTAATCAAGATTTTATATTTTATCGAACGGAGCATGTATGTGTACAAGATTGATCGATTAGTTTAACAAATCGAGCTCAAACAAACAAACTTTTAACGAATAATCGCAAGCCAAATCATCTCTGTAACTCGGTTGACATTATATTTTTTTTTTGGTACAAATAAATTAGAATAAGTTTATAACTGATCCTTGAAAAATCACATTAAAGCATTTGTAAAACAATTCAACACGAGTGGGATCAAATGCTACTATGATCGATTCTATCGTATCGGCTTAGAATGCCATTTTTCAATGAGAAACAACTTTTTGACAATCTCTCTGTTCATTCTTTGAGCTTCGTTCGGAGTTTTTAGAACTTAGTATGATACGTATTATAATATAACCAGGGATGCTCAGTGAATGCCAAAGCATTCAGCTCAGCTATTTTTTATTTATTTATTTTACTCTGTTAATTTAACTGACACTAAAAATTTCAAATTGAGACTGATATGATTTTTCCCCCTTTTTTCAGAAAGGAGGGATGTGCAAAACATTATCAAGAAGGTTTTGGATGAACAACTCGATTCTTGGAGCGAATTTTGTGTGTGAGGTGATTGATCGGATGAATGAACTGTTGCATAAGAAGAAGAAAACAACGATGCTTTGGAGGATATTTTAACTTGAAATATGACACTATACACACAAATGAACGCTTAAAGAATGAAGAGATAGAAGCAGATCGTGAAGCACAAATGGTATATATATATATATATATATATATATATATATATATATATATATATATATATATATATAATGTTCCATCCAATCTTTCCATTTCTGGGTTTTTCATAATGCAAAATATTGATATTTATTATCCTATTGATTTTCAGGGCTTCAATGATATGCTGAGAAGCATTATTGCATTAGCATTTTCCATCCCTTTTAGTCGTAAAATTCGTAAGGGGGTTGATAGAATGAACTCCGGAATCGGGTTATATCAAATTTCGCAATTATGCTTCGTATATGTATTATGTATATATATGAGATCTGATTGCATTTTGTTTATATTTTCGGTTTATACGCCCGTAATATCAATTATCACTTCCCAATTACCACTATGAAAAATGCCAACAATGGTTGGACATACTCGAAAGGAGATATCTCATTACATTCGTGACAAGAGTATGGGCAAGAATTACAACAAGGGAGTAGTTTCTTAAGGTGGTTTGAGAATTTGCGACAGAAAACTCCCCGTGAAGAAGTGGAATTGGCATCAAGTTTTGTGTTGGAAGGCGTGTCATAATCGAAATCTTTGAAGTTCATGATGGAATCGACGTTGCAACAGATGACTTGATATCTCGGGCAAGACAAATTTCTTGCAGACTATCGAAGGGCGTTAGGGACGATATAAATGTAGCAAGGTGGCAATTTCCGTTACAAGGAACCGTCAAAGTAAAATTTTCAATGCAATTTCTCCCCTTCAAAGTAGCGATGGTGGCTCGGGACGTGAACCGGACCTGTATGTGGTGGGACGTAGCAAAATTTTCCGGGGAAACCGAATACTGCAGATGGTGAACTTGAGTCAATCCAAACTCAACTCACGCGCCCGGCCCGACTACCATCCCTCCCTGCAAGAAAAGAACAATATACAAATTTTCAAATTTCTCAATATAATATATCTTATTAAAATATGGAATGACACGGCAAGAAATTTGAAAGGGTAAATTACAAACACCCCCTGAGGTATAGTCAAATTACAAAAACACCCCTCTTGTTTGGATAATTACAACCACCCCTCAATTCCTCAAATTTAGTGGAATCTTCGAGATTATATAGAATATTATCACTTTTGTACCCGTTTTATTCCATTCAAACTCTAAATTATGAAGCAAGATGATCATAATATGTGATTTTTAGCTTGTATATATCAGTTTGTGGTGCATCGGAAACTGTATTTTTACACAAAACGAGTACAAACTAGAGCACATTTCACGGAATCAAGATGGTTATGTTGAATTTGGCACCATAAGGGTGGAGGTGTAAGAAAAAATCATAGTTGATGGGGTAGATGTAATTATCCAAACAAGTGGGGGGTTTTTGTAATTTGACCATACCTCGGGGGGTGTTTGTAATTTACCCAAATTTGAAAATATGGAAGCTGGCAGTAAAAGTAAAAGTAGCATAGCTGTCTAGCACAGCAGTAATTTCTATCTTACCTTTTCACCACCATATTCTCTCAAAAAAAAAAAAAAAAAAAAAAAAAAAAAAAACTTTTTCACCGCCATTATTGTTCATCTCTTCTCTAGGGCCGTCACCGAGAAATTGCCGGCGATTTCATCTTTTCTCGTCTTAGGTGAGAGAAAGCTTCTGCCTTCCCGCCCCTATGTTATCATAACAAGTAAGTTCATAATGTAGTCGTTGATTTAATGATTTTTCTTGTCCTTTGTTGAGTTGACTCGTTCTGGCCTGGTCGACTCAGTCCGTGTGTATTATGGATGCTTTTGGGGCTGGGTTGCTAATATAAAATCCGTGTGTATTTCATCATATTGTGCATGTGAAATAAATTTTGTGTGTAAACTAAATATTATTTTATTTTTGACGCTCTGCAAATTGCTGTTTAGATTGGAAGCAACAAAGAGTCTGCAGGTGAACTACTACCTCAAAGAATGAGTCCTTCACCCGAGTTTTATTGCTGGCCCTGGGTTGGGATTATAGCCAACGCGCAAAACGACAACCGGGGTTACTGGCTGAATGAATTCTCCAAATACAATCCTTCGGGAGTTGAAATTTTACAAGACGGTGCGCAGGTTGTCGTAAGATTTGGCGATGATTTGTCTGGATTTAAGAATGCGATTGAGTTTGAGAAGTCGTTCCAAGATCAAGGTTGTAGTAAGAAAGAATGGATTGACCGAAGAGCTTCTCCCGGTGCAAGTGTTTATGGTTGGCTTGCTCGTGAAGACGACTACAAATCGGACGACCCCGTGGGAAATTATCTTTGCACTACAGGGGGGTTAAGAACAATCTCAGACGTAATTGATGAAGTAATTGAAAATCGGAAGAAAATTGCGAGTAATCTAGTGGATGAGATTGACACGAGAAACGAAAATATGGATAGCATGCAAATCAAATACAGTGAGAGGATAATGTCCCTTGGTAAAATGCTTGAAGAGAAAGACGAACTTCACAGAACGTTATGTGAAGGTTTATTATTATCTCTTTCGGACACTGTAATCAGTTTAAATGGTTAATTTTTTTATGGTGGTAAGTAAATTCCGATTGAGACTTATGTAATTTGACTTTTTTCCGTTTTGACAGAAACGAGGAAGGTGCATAGCATTATTAAGAGGGCTTTGAATGAACAAGAGATGCTGAATTACGAACTGGAAAGCAAAAGACGGCAACTTGATTCTTGGAGTGTGGAGCTGCACAAGCGCGAGTCGTTAATTGAAAACGAAAGACGGAAAATCGAAGAGGAGAAGAAACAGGTAATTCATTTATAGTACTGCATGTATGCATCCGAACTTTGTCGTGGAAGTTTCAAAGCTTCGATTGTAATGTGGTTTCTTCATTGGTTTGTTTAAATTGTTACCAAAAGCATGTGTGTGTATGCGCGCGCGTATATGATCATGTAATATTGCTTGTCAGAATGATTTGAGAAGCAATGCTCTTCAAATGGCTGCTAAGAAGCCAAGGAGGACGACTTACGAAAATGGTCTAAGGATGCTCGGAGAAGAACAGGTTTGTTTGCAGTGTCTATAAGTATTGCTCTACGCTGCTATGTAAGACATTTTTTGGTTCATACGATGCAGAGAGAGATGGAGAATTTTCTGGCAACGGTTCGTGAGTTAGAAAGAGATTGCGTTGCGATGAACAAAATGAAAACGGAAATCGAAATTCTGAAAATGGAATGTAAGTTTGAGGAGACGAAGCATTTGGGATTAGGTGACGGTGATTGTGACGATAAAGTCCAACAAAAGATGGATCAGATGCAAGAGTTGTTAGATCTCTTGCAGGAGACGACTGATGGAATCGACACTTTAGAATATTATAACCGTGCGCTAATTATGAAAGCCCGTCATACAGATGATGAGTTGCAAGAGGCTCGTAAAGAGCTAGTGACAGTATGATATCTATAATTGGTCCCGGTGCATTATAATGCTTTAATATTATAAACAAATAAAAAAAATTCTTTCTTTCAGGGATTTAATGATATAAGGAGTGTGCATTCTGCTAACATTGGGATTAAAAAGATCGGTGAAATCAACGAGAAAGCATTTATGGACACTTTGATAAAAAGACTCCCTTCTGAAGAGGCTGAGGTCGAGGCTCGTAAACTGTGTTGCTTGTGGCAAGAGAAAATAAAACATACCGAATGGTACCCGTTTCAAATAAAAGGAGATAAGGGGAATGCTATGGTGGGGCTCAAAATCCCTTTTTACTTTTATATGCTTCTTAATTACAAGATTGATTGAAAAAAAAATACCTTTTTTTTCGTTTGTGTTTATTGTAGAAATGGGTGATCAACGAGGATGACGAGTTACTGAGGGGCCTTAAGAAGGAATGGGGCGATGAAATCTATAGTGCAGTCTTGACAGCTTTGTTGGAAGTCGAAGAATACAATCCTGGTGGACGTGATGCGGTTTCCGAGGTGTGGAACTTCAAAGAAAATAGAAAAGCCACTCTTAGGGAAGCCATCAAACACACGTTAACGCAATTGAAACCACTCTTAAGGAAGATGTCGGTTGCGCAATCGAACGCATTCGAACGCGAAAAAAGAGCTTGAATAGGCGGCACACTGAACTCCTTTTGAACACAAGCCAACGACTTTTGGATTGTCTGAACTCTGATTTTTCACTTGTTGAAATATATGAAACTATTATATATAGCCGTTTTCTTTGTTTAAATTCGTTTTATCTCGTGTTGTACGACCGACTAAGGGAGAATTATGTTTTTTCGTCCCTCGTGTTCGTCCAATTCCACTTTCCGTCCCCGTTGTTCTAGAAGTGAGATTGTCAACCATTACTTGATATCAACTAATTTGCAAAATAGAAATCAATATATAATTAATTTTCAGCCTGCATGCAGGCTCCAAGTATGAATATAGTTACCTAATAATTCAGAACTAATTTAACAAAATATCATTACCACTAGCATTAATATTCAAATTAATTCACATTGGGTACGGTGCTATTTTACTATTCGACTTTTGAACAACCAAATTATTCGTTGACTTATACATAAAAAAATTAATTATAGCCGATGCCGACGAAAATTGAATGGATAGAAATAAGCGATCATGCAAATTGAACAAGAAATTAAAAGAAAATAAATGAGCTCAAGTACCAACAAGCATGGAATGATGGACATACAATATATAAGTAGTCTAAACGAATCGAGCTTGGGTGTTTTGGCGAGCTCGAGTTGAGAGAGTCGAGCATGTCGAGATCGAGCATGAGTCATTCATTTGAGTGTTTTTTTAATTAATATTATCAGAATTTAATTATTATAAATTATATAAAAAAATCAAAATAAAAAAAATGACCAATAATTTTTTTATTATTATTTATGTGAAATACAATTGTATTTAAAATAAAATTATTAAAAAAAAAACTCAGCATGCTCAAGAACAACGAAGAATGAGATTGGGCTCGACTCGTCAGAAAGCTCGCTTTTGAACTTTTGTCGAGTCTGCTCACCGAGCTAAGAAGGCGGCTCAGCTCACTTACAACTCTACCTAACTTTCTTAATGATTTGTTTACTCCCTCTGTCCCAATTTAAATGACGTTTGGGGTTGTTGCACACATATTAAGAAAATCAATAAATGTGTATAGATTATAGTAAAAAGCATAGGAAAATACTAATATATCCTTGACATTAATTGTTTTACAACTAACTAATTAGGAGTGATAAAAGGGTAAAATTGAAAATAGTGCAATTAATGATACATTGAAAATCTAAAATGACAAATAATTTGGAACAAGACTAACTCTCTAAAAAAACATATAATATGGGATCTTGAAGCTCATGAGGGAATCGACGTTGCAACAGATGACTTGATGTCCCGGGGGAGACTATTTCTTGCAGACAATGGAAGGGCATTAGGGACGATATACATGTAGCAAGGAGTCCACGTCCACTGAGGTGGCGATCTCCGTTACATGGAACCGTCAAAGTAAATATTTCGATGCATATCTTTTCACTTCCGGTGAATTGTTTTTCGATGTAGCGATGGTGGCTCGGGACGTGAAACGTAGCAACACTTCCGGGGAAAACGAATCCTCCAAATGGTGAACTTGAGTCAATCCAAACTCACTAACACGACCCGATTACCATCCCTACGGAAAAAGGACAACATAAAAAATTCAAATTTATCAAGATAAGTAGGGATTAAATATTTTTTACTTTTTTTATTTTTTTAATAAGATATAGTATATCTTATTAATATGGAAGTGAGACAGACAGCTCTGAAATGACACGGCAAGAAGAGTAAACAATGTTATATTGATGGAAGCTGGCAGTAAAAGTAAAAGTAGCCATAATTTCTTTCTTACCTACCCAAAATCACTTTTTCACCATCATATTCTCTCCAAAAAAAAAAAAAAAAAAAAGAAGGAAAACCCTGTTTCACCGGGCCATTATTGCCGGTAATTTTCTCTTTCCGTTGCTTTATGTGGCTGACATACGTTCGCCGTGGAAATATCAACCGAACCGCCGTTCACCTTTCCTCGTCTCAGGTGAGAGAAAGCTTCTGCCTTCCCGCCCGTATTTTATCATAACAAGTTCAAAATGTAGTCTTGATAATTTATTGATTTTGCTTGTCCTTTGTTGAGTTGACTCGTTCTCACCTGGTCGACTCACTCCGTGTGTGTGTGTGTGTGTGTGTGTGTGTGTGTGTGTGTGTGTGTATGGGTTGCTAAAATCCGTGTGTATTTTATCATATTGTGCATGTGAAATAAATTTTGCCGTTAGTCAGTACACTGAGTTTTTCAATCCTAACTCTTACCTTTAATTTGCATATGTACTTCATGGGAATCATATTATTACAGTATTTAATTTTATTTTATTTTTGACGCTGATCTGTACATTGTTGTTCAGATTGGAAGAATGAGTAGCTCTTCACCTGCTGCTAAACCCGAGCAGCTCGAGTTTTATTGCTGGCCCTGGGTTGGGATCATAGCCAACGCGCAAAACGACAGCCGCGGTTACTGGCTCAACGAGTTCTCCAAATACAATCCTTCGGGAGTTGAAATTTTACGTGGCGGCGCGCAGGTTGTCGTCGTAAGATTTGGCGATGATTTGTCTGGTTTCAAGAATGCGATGGAGTTTGAGAAATCGTTCAGTGATCAAGGTTGTTGTAGGAAAGAATGGATTGGTCGACGAGCTTCTGCTTGTACGAGTGTTTATGGTTGGTTTGCTCGTGAAGACGACTACAAATCGGATGGGCCTGTGGGAGATTATCTTCGTAAGAAAGGTGGATTGAGAGCGATTTCAGGCCTCATCGATGAAGCGATTGAGGATCGGAACAAAACTTCGAGTAATCTACTCGATGAGATCGACTCGAGAAACCAAAATATGGACGGTGTGCATATCAAATACGGTGAGAGTATAATTTCCCTTGGTAAAATGCTTGCAGAGAAAGACGGGTTTCAAAGAACTTTTTGCGAAGGTTCGTTTATTTCTTAGTAGAAAGCTTGCGGATAAACTCTTTTGGATAATTATACGAGTAAATTTGAAGTCAGAAATGATGTAGTGGTGTTCCTTTTTTTTTTTCAGAAACGAGGAAGGTGCAAAGCATTATTAAGAGGGTTTTGAATGAACAAAAGATGTCGAACTTCGAACTGGAAAAGAAAAGGCGGCAACTTGATTCTTGGAGCGAAGAACTGCAAATGCGTGAGTCGTTAATTGAAAACGAAAGACGGAAAATCGAAGAGGAGAAGAAACAGGTAAATCGTTCATACGCACATCCAAAAGTTTTCGTGGAAGTTTCAGGCTTCTATTATAATGTCGGTTCTTCATTTGGTTTGTTTGAATTGTTGCTAAAAAACATGTGTGTGTGTGTGTGTGATAATGTAATATTGATTGTCAGAATGATTTGAGAAGCAATGCTCTTCAAGTGGCTGCTAAGAAGCCGAGGACAACTTATGAGAATGCGCTAAAGATGCTCGAAGAAGAACAGGTCTGGCTGGCACTTGATATTACGTATTTTCCGTCTTATCTCACTAGAACAATAATATATACATTGTCGTATGATCGATGCAGAGAGAGACGGATATTGCTCTGGCGAAGGTTCGTGAGTTAGAAAGAGATTGCGCCGAGATGAACAAAATGAAAATGAAAATCGAAATTCTGAAAACGGAATTGAAGATTGAGGAGATGAAGCGTTTGGACGGTGATGATGTTGTTGATGATGACGACGACGACGACGATGCTGATAAAGAAGTCCGACAAAAGATAGATCAGATGAAAGAGCTGTTGCAAGAAAAAAATGATGAATTCAATAATTTAGAAGCTTTAAATAATCAACTAACCGAAAACGAGCGTCAAAGAAGTCACGAGTTGCAAGAGGCTCGTAAAGCCGTAATGAAGGTATGATATCTATAAATCGTTCCGGTGCGTTAGTATAATGGTTTATTTTTAAACGAATATATATATATAATTTTTTTCAGGGAATGAATGATATAAGGAATGGGCATCGTGTTAACATTGGGATAAAAAGGATCGGTGAAATCAACGAGAAACCATTTAAGGACACATTCATAAAAAGACTCCCTTCTGACGAGGCTGAGGTCGAGGCTCGTAAACTGTGTTGCTTGTGGCAAGAGAAAATAAAAGATACCGAATGGGACCCGTTTCAAATAAGAGGCGGCAAGGGGAATCCTACGGTGGGGCTCAAAATTCCTTTTTACGTTATCTGCTTCTTAATTACAAGATCGAGGCAAAAATTGAAATGCGAAGCTAAAAAATTACGTTTTTTCGTTTGTGTGTTTATTGTAGAAATTGATGATCAACAAGGATGACGAATTACTGAGTGACCTTAAGAATGAATGGGGCGATGAAGTCTGCAGTGCAGTCTCGACAGCTTTGTTGGAACTCGAAGAATACAATCCTGGTGTACGTGATGCGGTTTCCGAGGTGTGGAACTTCAAACAAAATAGAAGAGCCACTCTCAAGGAAGCCATCAAATACGCATTAACGCAATTGAAGAGGATCAAGCGCAAGAGAGCTTGAACCCGACCGGATGGATGAACAATGATTCCTCTCTTTCGATCTTTTTTTTTTTGACGTATGCCCGCCTTTTTGAAGATAGAGAGATCTAAGTGCAACTTTTGTAAGATTGTTTATCTAATGATCCTTGTACAAAGTTTTTGATTTTGTAATATAATTTAGCTTTTCTTGTTAGATAAAGAATGTGAGGGTAAATCTGGAAACTACATACTATTTATTCTAGTGGTCGTTTTGCTGTTTCTGAGCTGTGGAACTTCGACAAAAATAGACGAGCACATTCTTAAGGAAGGTGTTGTTGGAACATTAATCCAACGTTGGACTTATATGTGAAATATTATGTGTTGCAAGACTGTCACGTAAAGTTAAGCCCGTTAAAGTGATCGACTAAAGTTTATCTGGATTGGGCTTTAATGTGTCTAATAGGGTGTGGGCCTTTAATGTGTAGAGACATTAGGGTAATTTTATTATAGTGATGGGCTAAAATAAAATTACACAAGATAACCCATTAGGTTATCTATATATATTGGTCATGGTCCCCGGGTCACATGTACGAATTCCGATTCTTTATGTATTCCATCGACATAAAGAAAACGAAGAGAAGTCTAAAGGGTTCTCTGGTTCGGATGTACATGATGATCTGGAAGATCCATGATCGTTTCATATCAATTCCACCGGAGTAAGGTACGCTTCCGATTTATATTTATGCACAATATTCTTGATGATTCGGCATGACGGTTCCATGGGATTTATTCAAGTTTATTCCAACAAGTGGTATCAGAGCCACCATGTTTTGAATCATCGAGAATTTTAACAATTCTCGTCAAGTTGTTATTACGAGAAATCTATGTTTTTCATGAATTTAATTTTCAAAGTTTCGGCCAGATATTTATATGATATTCAGTACGTTCTGCAATTAGGTTTTAATCTCGAATCAGATATGTTTATATTAATATTATGAAACCTGTTGCCTTGTATTAGGTATTAGCTTTTCTGAATTAGGGTTTCATGAATATATATGATATTTTATTCATATTAAGTGAATTGCACAATTGTTGCCTGAATTTGAAAATTCGGATTAAAGTTTTAAGGATTCATTCATTAAGAATAAGAATTAAGGATAAAGTTTACGGTCTGAAATTCCAATTTGCAACGGTGAATGAATGGCGGCTGATTTGGTTTTCCGGCCGAGCCATCCTTCGGCACCACCGCTGCAATGATTCTCACACCACCATCATTTCTTTCATATTTCCCACAAACTACAGCCACATAAGGGAAACGGGGAATGGGTTTTTTCCAGTTTTCGCCTATCTCGCCATTCGGTTCCGGCGAGACGAGTGCGGAAATCCATCCCGATTCAGGGCAGCCAACGAGGCAGCCACACTCAGGACCATCTCCGTTCAGTCTTCGGTGGCGGAGGTGGCAGATCTGTGTACCTATGTCGTTCGCGACAATGGCGGCACAATTTGCTGAAAGTGCCTCGATTGGCGCCGCCGGTTGATTCTGGCGGCGTCTATGCTCGTGGGTTGTATGTTTCCAGCGGAAATCAGGGGTGGTGGAGCCAGATTAGGGAGATGAGATGGTGGCGGCGTGTGTCTAGTTGAACAAGTCAATTAGGGCTGTTTAATT